CCCCCCAATGCTTCACTTGGTTGGTGGTGCAGGGTACAGACAGACAACACTTTCAAAAGTATTTTGATATGTTCTCCCGAAATGTTCTCACCCGTGCATGGTAAAGGGCATTTTTCTCTGGCGACTGGCAAACATTGACCCTCTGTCATGTTGCACGTTCTGGTAAAGATCCATTGGCGACTAATGCGAAAAGTACATAATGTCGACGACGGTAGCGTCCATGAGGCAAATAAGCGATCAGCGTGTCGGGTCACGTCAAAGGTTGGATGTTCCTTTAGTAAATCTACGACTGCCATTCCCAAGTATCTAAGGGCAATCGCCAAATATCAGGTTAGGAATGACCAGGGATGGCAAAAGAAAGTCAACAAGAAAACTGTAATCTTCTTTGTCTTTTAAAAGACGAATGAATAAAAGAAGACTTGCCATCCCTGGGGATGACAAACAGGGCAATATTCCAGTTCGGGATAAACTGTGCATATGAAATTGCGAGATATATTGAAGGACTGGTGCAATGAGGCAGTTCGACGTATAACCTAAGTGAGCTCATTTAACGAGATGGTCGCTGAGTACGAAGGAGAGTCCGATAACGCTGGTCAAGCACTACACACACCCCGTAAACGATATGAAAACGCACAGAAGCATACGTCTTGATTCATTCCGGTGTCAGGAAGGCGTGCAGGTTCATGATAGCAGCAGCTAGCAAAATGTTACGATGGTGATGCGTAATGAACAACCACAGTAAGTGGCTGCAGCCACCCAGATATCACACTTGACATGTCGACAAAAAAAAGCATGTTCCAAATTCCAAATCAACTTTCAGTTTAAAATAGACCGTAACGAATTATCCAGAGTAAACTACGTTATCCAACCATTTTAATTAAATACAGAGATCAAAGCTGCCTCATGTCCACCAATGAGTTCTTGATGATGATGACAATATTCACTTCTCGAATCTGGTGGCTACACACTGCACGCAAGAAAAATATAGCTGAACACGTTTGTAATCCAATTTTTCAAGTGGTATTACTAATGTTGACAATCGATATTCACGATTAATACCGCCTAATATCATTTTATGGGTTATTAATCGTTATTAACGATGAATAATGGATTTTAACGGTGACAATTGAAATGGATTTCGTGTGAACTACACACGCGAGGTACTTCAAGATCGTGCCAGGTGATATTAACCCTGAATATCAACGTGTAAATTGGAATGTAAATAATTATAACAACGTTTTTAACCGTGAATCCCCACACTAGGTATTATTTACACATCGTTTGCAGAATTATAGATATCGGTTTCATAATTAACAAAATTTATCTGCCTTAAGATAGGAAGCCACCACGACTAAAGATGTGAAAAGTATTCGATAGGGACGACCCATACCGACAGATTTTGAGACGTCGGGGTAGCACGTTGGTCACGGTCGTACCTGAGTTGGTCTATTTGCTCACGTAACGCAGGGACTTGTTAAGTTCTTCGAGGCCTAAAAAGGATTCGAAATAAGTAGCAGTGGAGTATAAGAGTTTGCTGATGGGCTATTTTAACAAAAACTTATTCTATACTTTAAAGTCTTACTTCAGACGTCATTCCTGTTTCTGCTGAGCATTAATGTCTGAATTTAAACCTAAAAAAATCCTATTTTTAGTATTATATTTTTGCAAGCTTATCTTGTAATATAAAATAAAACTGCCAGTTTACAGCATTACTACTCGTGTTATTTTTATTATATTAAGATTTACCTAATATGGTAGGTTACTTTTAAGCTAATCTTTGCAAAAGCTAACTTTTACAAAGATTTGCTTTTGCAATTTACCAATCTTGTTGACCATATATTAGAGTAGTTCTTGAATCAAGAATCTTGATTAGGAAATACGTATTGCAATCAGTTATTAATACGTACATGGTATTATCTAGATGTACCACGTAATCCGGTTAGTGGATATAAAGTGATTACAGCAAGCAGTTTGTAATCTAGAAACAAATAGAAAATATCAATACAAACGCTTTACAACAGTTTCGTATCCATGTAATTTCTTGACTTTATCAAGTTTGCCTGATACGCTGGAAGAGTATACTGGAAACAAAACACTTCCTTCCGTTGCAATGTAGCCCTAGTTGTACCATCCGGTTTGTGTGGGAAGGTGCGAATACCCTATGTTCGAAAGATATCACGTCGTTTTGTTCTGAAATGCTGTACTAAGGAATATTTAGCACGTATTTTTTATAAATAGGTGCAGGATGATTTTAAATCGACCCGCAGAGTTGTTGTCATTTGTAGGCGGACACACACATACACATACACACTACATGAGTTACAGACGTTTATATGTAGTGCATCTTGCCTATGCTTGAGGTTTTGAACGCGGGTTTCATCACAGATCAGAGCATGTCAAGTACATTAATGCTTAGGTGAGCCTGATTTGGGGTTTGTTTTCTGCTTACCCTTCAAATTGGGAAAGTAATGTCCCATGGCATACGCTCACCTTGTTGCTCCAAAATTCCTCCGAGTTGTGCAGTTGTACCTAATTCGCATCGCTTACGTTCTTGGTATTACCTATATGTACCACGTAATCCGATTACTGCATAGAGGATATAATACGATTACATCAAATAGTTTGTAATCTAAAAAAAGAAAGAAAGAAAGAAAGCGCATTGCCTATCCATGTAAACTCTTGAGTTCCCGATGCATTTGAAAAGTATACTGGAAACAAGAACAAGATGCATTACTCGAAATCCAGCACTGGGTTGTAGTTGCCTATTTATTGGAAGGTCTATATTCTGAATTTACTATTCGGTTGTGCTTCTTATATGTATCATACCGCTTGACTCGGACGGTTTACGTATTGAATTGAAGTTGTCGCGGTTTGAGATGGCTAACTATTCCTGATACCGCAAACGTTTGAGTACTGAAGAGCTATGAGTTACCCAAATGCAGTGCTGGACGGCTTGAAAATGAGCCTTACCTCTGTTTTTAGGCAAAGTATCACACACACAACATGTGGCGTTTGCATGCTGGTGCATCTTGCCCCAGAACGGGCGAAAAACCAACTATCTCGACAATATAATCGATGCTTATGGTTTAAGATGTCTGTGCATTGAACGCGGGCTTCAACACTAATTCAAATATTGTCTGAGTTTTATAGGAAAATATACAGGAAGGGCTAGTTTGTGTATTGTTGTCTGTTGGCCCTTCAAGCTGGGTAATTAATCTGTCCCATCAGTCATCTCTAGTTGTACCAAAATTCCTTCGAGGTTGTGCAGTTGTAAAAAATGTTACCTAATTCGCACAACAAACATACCTTATAGTACATCATCCAGCTGAAAAAAACAACTGCATCACAATTAAATTGCTAGAAAAGCAGCCTTGTGTACGCACTACTAAAATGCGTCGAAGCTCTTTCTTAACACTGCTTCTATTTACCTTCCATAGCGTCCTTGTAAGTGCCGAGAACACATATCAGAGAATATCCGACTCCGGTGCCAAGAACACGAATCAGGGAGTATCCGTGAAATCCGACTCAAGCCTCGCAGGACTTCAAGCAGTCGACGCGCATCAGAGCGTTCAGGGCGACCATACAGCAGTTCACGCAGATGCAAAGCCCGACGGGAGCGCGGAAGAAGAAGCTCGTGGTCTGAAAAAACTATTTAGGTGGAAGCCCAAGAATGTGGCGAAGTTACAAAGGAGTCCAACGTTGATGAAAGGAGTGGAGCATCTCAAAAACAATCCAGCGCTCATTACGAAGAATCTCAGGACTATCAACAAAAGCAACCCTACGGTGGTGAAAAGGTTCGAGGCTGTAGCGAATAACCCCGGTGTCGTGGAGTCTCTACAAAAAGCTCCCAAGGCACAAAGCGCCAAAAAGCTGAACTCATTCCTGACCAAGGACGAAGATCTCTCCGACGATATCGCAGAACTTGTATGGGGCCTCGTCGTCCTCTTTATTGTTGGCAGCCTAGTTGGTACGATATCTTGGGCATTTGGGCAAGCCTTTCGCGAGCCTTGAAACCCTTTCCGTTTCTAGCAGCTTTACCTGTTGAAACCGAAGAGTTCTAGAAATTTGACTTCACATCAGCTTGGAGTATTTTTTTCTCCACAAACTCGTTTATTTCTGAGAGGAGGTCTGTCAACACCGATCAACGATGAAGAAGCATTTGCTAAAGATTTACTATTTGAGGCTAATGTGAAATAAATAACTAGGAGTACTTTTATTTGAGTTTAGTAATGCCCTCAAGTAGAGGATGAGTTCGTACACCCGAGCCAAGCCTCCTCTACTGGGTCACATGGTTCTCCCACACCCCGTTGAATCTGCAGCTTACGCATCGCAATGTACCCCGATGACGTAGAACAGTTGATGACCATCATTCGAGTGTTGTAGCACATGCCTTCTACTCCATTAAGCTTGCAATTCCTATACTTGACACCATTGCACAACTCGTCTGTCGAATACTTGGTTGGAGCGGCCTTTTCATGGCTAAATGGGGCATCAGAGGGGGGACAGACAACACCTCCAAACGTTGCAAGAGTAGCATTATCTTCTGCTGAAATGCGCTCATCCGTGCATGTTAAAGGGTATTTCTCGCCAGCGATCGGTAAACATTGACCCTCCGTCATGTTACACGTCCCTGTCAAAAACCCATTGCAACAAATGGCAGTTCGTGAGGACAGAATAAAATGCTGCATACTCTTGAGAGGTTGAAGCGACGGCAGCGTCGCAACACGAGGAAGATAAGCAATGTGCATGTCGGTCACGTCCGAAAGACCGACGAAACTTGGGAGTTCCTTGAGGGAATCCATGACTGCTAATGCCAAATATCGCAAGTTTTTCAGCTTTGAAAGCGACGGCACTTGTTCCAGATCAGGATGAACGCCGATGTGGAGGAATGCGAGGTGTGACATGGTGTCAAAGATTCCATCCGCCACAGTATGAAGCCTTCTACTTGTATAATCTCCCTCGATGTGTCTGTAAGAAAATGATGGTTAGAAATGAAAGTAGACTATAAACGTCAACGGATACTTACAAATATTCTAGGCGGGAGAATTCCGATACCCATTCTGGAAGGTGTTCTGTTTTAGTGTAAGCTAGAATCAACTGTTCTAAATGACCGCAGTTCTTGAGCTCTTCAGGTAGTTCTGGAACAGCACGGTTAATAATCTGCACAATTCGCAGCTCCCCTGCTATAGCAAGTTCTGCCAAGTCGCTCGTAGTGTCAACAGGATTCGTCCATTCAGCGTAAGTCGTTGGTGCGATTTGGCGGTCTGCAAACACCAGACAAGTGCAATCTTTCTCTCCGTAATTCCACTGGTAACTTGCGAGGACACACTTATCGTACTTGCTGCACAAAGCTGTCGTCGACTGTACCGCTCCAATTGAATACACGAACATACAGATCCCCGCAATTAGGAAAACCAGCGAAAGAAAAAGTTTGGGAATGAAATGTTGTCCAAGTTTTGGCTTTGAGATCGTGTCCGACAGCCTCTTCGTGAGGTATGCTTTGATAATCCCCGTTTGAGATTCTCGTTGTACTGGTTTTACCGACGCCCTCCGCTTGCGCTCAGCCTGTCGCTCGTGGTGGTTATGAATCAACGTCATTACGATCTTTCGCCACTTGTACAGCGACAAAATATTCAGCGCAGACTTGTAGAAAAGCGTCGAGCCCACCGAAAACTGCAAATAATGAAATGCACTACAGAAACTCGAAATTTGTGATGGATCACCATATATGCGAGCAACGGTATCGAACGATCCGACACCAAGTGTTTCCATTTTCGTTTGAAATGCGGCACGATCAAAGTCAAATGTGTCGACGTAGTAGATTAGCACCACGAGTGGAGCGAACACGGCAAAGAATAAATCAAATCTAGCCATATGACAGTAGAATACGAGGCGTTTGTTAGTTCGGGAAAAGGAATATAGTTCAAAACATCTTACGTGTAGTACAGTCGAGCGATGATAAGATCGGGATCCGCCACATAATGCTGGCTCCGATAACAAGTTACGAGCCAATTGAAGAGCAACAAGACTGAATAATAATAAATGATTGCAGTTGGGAAGCCTTTTCGAAGATACGTTGCTAGAGTGAGCGTCTGGAAAACGAGTTTAGGAAGATCCAGCGCCGCAGTCTAAATCGACAATGTCAGCACAAACTTAGACTTATTTGTACAAAAATAACAGCATCCATGTGCTTACGAAGTAATGCTCTCGAATATCCGCCGGTAGTTCGTGAATCCACACGACAATGCGCTGAACGAGACCTCCTTTCGGTTTAATTTGCTTCGTCACCACTTCAGTTGCAGCTTTTCCAGAAATGCTATCAAGTTTCAAATCTTCTTTCGGGGCACCAGCACGGTAGAAAAACGTCATCGTGACCGCAAGAGCAGTGTAACCAATACCGAAAATCGTCAACAGTACAACCGAAGACACGACAATCGATTTTTCAGGTTTCGGGAGTAACCAGAACTCTCCGTTATCGAACTCGGTGGTGTTCATGATAGCGTTGGCGATACTATCCGCATGAATTTGAATGGCCGCCATCATGAAAGTCCAGGCTGCTGAGACGATGAACATGATGATCATGGGAACTCCAAGTACACCGAAGACATCGTAAAAAGTGGCTACCTCAGTAGCTACAATGTTAACGACATGCGGTGCGAATTCTTGCAAAGATCCCGTCCATGAGCTTTTGGGCGACAAAGAGTTCCTCACAGATGGGCGTGGGGACTTGGGTTTATGGGGTTGTAAAGAGAAGGCATCTTCGAGGTTTTTGTGTTCGTCCAAACCCGCAACTTCGTCCGTTTGGTGAACCAGCAGGTCTACTGGATCTACTGTTGCAGACGCTGCTTTAACGTCGGTAGAATTCTCCTGGCTTGGAGAGGGAGCGTCATCCCCAGGCATCATGCTAGTGAGGTCGACGTCGAGAGAGGACTGCAGTGGAATCAATAATAGTAGGAAGCCGACTTTTCAAGTGTCGACCAAATAGACTCAACGTCTCATCTTGTCCAATATCGTACTCTTGAAACGCACTGAGTTTACAAGAGCAAATCGAAAGAGATCAAATGTCATCTACGTTGTGGTTAGTTAAGATTCGGAAAGGTACCTTTCGCGATGACGCTACAAGCTGAATACTTCGAGGTACGAATACGAAAAATTCGATAGATACATGAAATATGCGCTGCTCTCAGTGAATTAAGATCAGCAGCAGGATTTCAATCTTCGACGTTGTCGATTTTACTGTCTAGATGTCTCTGGTCATGGTGTCATCCTCAAGCTGTCATAAAAAAATATAGAGGGAGATAGCTACCTTTCATAGAATGTCTAGGTACGAATCCACTTTTCTCACTTACTTTTGTATATTTGATTCATGACATCTACATATTAACTTTCTTGTGGTGCGTGGTGGCTGCACAACCAACGCGTACGGCTTATTGTTTCCGTACTCTCGCTAGATACATCGCAGCGACGTAAAGCTGCCCAGCTGCTGCGTTCATTTCGAGTCAAATGGTCTTCATCACTAACCAAAGCATCCAGCAGGTTCCGAACGTGTTCGCGCTTGTCCTCACTGAAAACGAGACCGGTAAGTTTGTCAAGCACTTCCTGTGCCTTCAGCCGATCTCGAGATTGTAATTGCTGCTCCATTGGTGCTAGTTCCATTTCGTTCACGGGGTTTACGGTGGCAAGTTCCATGTGTTCCAATGCGCTGTAAAACGTTCGCAGTTCTTCCCATTGCCGAGGCCCCGAAAGTCCGCTAACTTCCTCAACACTTAATCCATTCGACAAACTTGCACGCGCCTCGAGGAATAGCATCGTTTCTCGTACCAGCGGCATCACCAGAGACAGCAACGAGGACGATACACTCACTCCATACTTCGTAGTAGTGGCGATACTGCACGGAATAGCAATGCCAGATTCACTCGACTCGCATATAAAGACGAGTGGAAAACGCAGTTCTTCTGCACGTTGTTGCTGAAGTCGCTTGAGTTTAGAAACCCATTGATCTTCCGAGAAGAAGCTGGCACGTTGTGTCAAGTCAATTTCGAGCTCCTTAGGCGGTAGGAATAGCCACAAACTCGGCGGCAAAGGCTCCGGAGTGATGTCACAAGAAATCGTTAGTTCCGCCTCGAGTTCGTTGGATACTTGATCGTAACTGTTATTTTCGCGATCTGGCCCTCCAGATAATAGAATTTTGCTTGATTCACATGAAGAGAGCAGCTCCTTCTCTTCAATAATTGCAGATAGCATTCGAGACGTGACTAAAGTCAGTCGTGACACCTCGCGTTCCTTGGGTTCAAACACAGAATGCTTAGAAATGGACTCGATCGAAGGTCTCGATGTCGAACAATGGTTCAAGCATTGGCGCAATAGGTCTTGCATGTCGTCGTTCGGCACAAATTGAGTAATTGATCGCTCAAAAAAGCAAGGTTTTGGTTGTTCTCCGTCGATACTTAGATGTTCAAACACATCGTGAGTTGTTAAACAGCCCTTGAACTCTTCTAGTTGACGTCCAGAAGCGTATAACTTCAGAATAATCACCCCAAGACTCCAGATATCCAGTGAAGGCGAAGTACGACAACTTGCTATCTCATCCAGAGTAAGAGCAGCCAGCTCCGGTGCTATACATTCCGTTTGACAAACACCAATCAGATCCGTATCTGGACAGGGAACTTTATGTCCTGCTCTCGAGGCATGTTCAAGACCCCAGAACTTCAAACGTCCGTCCGGTGAACACGCCACAAGGCTGTCTGTGTCCAGTGCTCCATGTACGAGACCTCGTGTGTGTAGAGCGTGAATTGCAGTCACTACACGGAGCACTTGCTGTTCCGTAGGCTCACGAGAAGCCTTCGAATATCCACGTAATGTAGTGCAGTCAGGTTGCTTCAATACCAAGATACAGCAATTTAACTTGACAGAGCCGACGTTAAGTTCGTATTCCAGTGCGTCGTCGACTAACCGAGGCGCAAAAGCTCGAGAAAAAGCATCGTTCAGCAGACACGATAGTGCATAACTCTCACGACCCGCAAGATCAGCGTCTTCTTCGATAAAAACCTTAAGCACGAGTTGTCCCAGGGGAGCAGGATCAGTTGAATCCTGCGAGACTACATGGTGACAGTCGACGAAAAACGCCAGCGGAGTCTCCTCAATTTGGGTTTCTCGGTTCAACGCATACTGACAGGCGTTTACAGTCAGTAAAGCTTGTCCAGCTTCGTTGGTTTTGGTAGCTAACAGCGTCTCCAGTGCTGATCGGAGCGCATTTCGGGCTGCGACTCGTACTTGAGCTGGAGTCGCACTCGCCGTGCTGTAAGTTGTAAGTAGCTCAAGAGAGTGATTGCTATCGCCGTTTTCACGTCTTGTCACTTGTCTCTTCCTATGGAGTTTTGGCACTTGCAACGGAGATATCAAGTTGACGTAGCTGGCACTGGAAAAGGCCAAAGTTTGCCGAGTTTGCTCTGAATCAGTAGGGGACATTGGGATGATGAAGCACGAGTCCCGGTCTTCGACATCTCGATTGCCTCCAGTTGACATTTGACTCCTAGAAAGTTCACTCTCGATCGCAGTAAAATGTCCCGAAGTCTCGGATCGTTCACGTGTAGACTTGTCGAAAGGATGTGGAAGCTCTAGAATCCCATCCGTGTCTCGCTGTTGGAATCGTCTGCGCTTGCGAAGGGCAAAACCAAGCGTGATACCGACAACCAGAACGGCAGGGATGGCGACGGATAGAATGGTGATTGGGAGCACGTTCCCACTGCTATTTTCTTTGACGGTGGCGGCGTTCTCCTCGCTTCCAGACGAGGTTGACAAAGGGAGATAAGCCGATTCTGTCTTGTTACTCGCAGCTTTCGCAGTGCCCACAACCGAGTCTCTCTCTTGTTCGTTGGAAGAATCTAACATCGCAAGTAAATCACTGTCGAGGAATAGTAGCTGGGAATTAATCCACTCGATCAACTGCTTCTTGTGAGCAGAAGTCTCGGTCGATAAATCCATAGTGTTGTTTCGCAGATCAATGGTAGAAACTCCACTTGGTAAATCATAAATGAAAACTGGGATTTCCTTGAATTCGTTTTGACGAAGGTCACTGAAATACAAAACAAACTCGTTAGCAACATAAATGATCTAAAACGCAGCAAAATGAAGCTTACAGTAAGGAAATGGTCGATGTTCCTATTGTGGAGCTGTCTGCAAACTCAAAAGAAATACTGTCGAGTCCGCAACCCACGATTGAGCTATTAATCAAGCAGATGTGAGCAATAGTGCCTACAATTTCCATGAAATCTATGCTGACGTACATTTTCTGGATGGCTGCTGGCAGCATCAAATGGAGATCCGTCTCAGCAAGTGGAATGCCCTCCAAATGGCTAGTAATGTTAGCAACAGAAAGATTTTCGTGTTAGTACGACCAGCACTTCAGAAGTTAAAGCAAACAAACAAATAAAACACTTACAGAGATTGGAGAGCAGAGAGCTCGGCAAAAGCTGTGGACACAATACTCACGGGGGTGGTCGGCTTGAAACCTGAAGCAGCTAGTAGCGAAAAATCCGCAACTGAAGGCGAAACGAGTACACCGACCTCGGAAAAAGTGGACGAGAGTTTCAAGTCCGATGCAGATGCAACAACGGACGCTCCACTGTCCACGTAGAAGTTGTTCACCAATAATGGATCGAAGTACGCCGACGATGCGGTAGCAGTATCCTCATTGATGCACCCGACAGTCCACTTAGTCGCCGACTGTGATCCGAGTGTTACGCGGTCGCACGAACTTGATGCAGCTGAAGTTGTGATTGTAACAAAACAGCTCCAAACCGCGAGCACCAAACCTGCCAGTACGATCTTTGTGGATTGCATTGTATGATATGGCAATTCGATGAAAGCAACGAAGCTTAATCTCCCCAGATAATGTACGCGCTCGGCGTAAGATTAGCTTTTGTTGATTGTGCAGGAGGATTGATGCAAAATGAGGAATCGGGTGGGAACGGCGGAGGAATCCAAGTGAAACAGCTCGACGTTAGAGCTCCCAATGGCTCAACCCTCTTCAGCCGCCTGGATATCGAGCTGAAGGGGTCAATACTGCCTTCAAGAGGCATCGGGTGGACCTTGACGACACTGTGTGTACAGTTCATTCCGTTTTCCAACGGCCTCTGATTTCTAACCAACGCAAAGTCTCATCCGTTGCTGATACCTTCACGACCAGCTCAATTTCGTTAGCTGCAATGCTGACATACATCTTACCACAGCGAGTATTATTAAGAACCCCAAAACACTCATATTCATGACTCCGGCATCGCAAAATATGCGAATACCACTGTATCCACGCAACAGAGAACCAAATTGAGACGAGAACCGATTAGTGAAACGTCAACGAAGTAGACCGTTCAAGACTTTTGTGTCGTTTCGTGCGCAACGTTCGCTGCGTCCATTCATCAGCGTCGCTGAACTTCTCGCTGAACGGAAAGGGTGGACTGATATTTGGCTGGTCAACGTGACTTGGTGACGTCAGGATCTGTGTGACGATTTCAACTTTGTTGTTGCCTTTCACTATAATGACGTCTGCAACTACGAAACTTAGGGCGTCTTTTGCCAAAACTATAATAAATGATAAGCAAAAACAAACTCAGTTGTATTGAGTCACACGCTGAATTCTTTGCAGCGCACCAGTGTCTTCCTGTCTCGCTTTCTCTGTTTACACGACTCCCTGACGGAACATGGCAGCGGCCACACTCATGAAAGCCGTGATGTTCGAACCGACGTGAAGGTCACCCGCAGCGTTGAACTCCTCGGCCGTAGCAGCCACGCGATCGTGAAGTTTGTACATGTATTCTGTACAAGCACATCGAGTTAGCATCACTTACAACCACCAGATATTGACTAAAACGTACCTTTCACGATCTTGTCCACCTCGTCGTTTGACAGCTGCGTCGACGATCCCAGACTCTTGGTAATCAGCGCGAACTGGCCGCCGTTGGACGCCTTGTTAGGACCGAAAGCCAGACCGTGCTGCTTGATGAGACTAATGGCCTCATCCGTGCAGGGGAAGTTAGCGCCCTCAAAGATTCCCTTGCAGCCGTTCTTAACTAGCAGACGCACAGCATCAGCGTCCACGTCGTTCTGAATGGCACACGGGAAAGCGTAATCGCAGGGCGTCTCCCACAGGCGGCCTTCCTCGCTCGGATGGTAGTTGGCCGTAGTGGACGACATGATGTAGGCCCCAAGACGAGCATTACGCTCCTCCTTGATACGCTTAAGCTCCTCTAGACTCTTGCTCGAGAAGCCCTGGTCCTCAATCACGTAGCCAAAGTTGTCGCTCATTCCAATGGGGATAGCTCCAAGGTCCAGCAACTTCTGCGCAACATTAAGCGCCACCGTGCCGCTGCCCGAGATGAGGCAGCGTTTACCCTTCAGCGTCTCTCCACGGGTCTCCAGGATACGGTTCGCAAAGTGCGCGACGCCATAACCCGTGACTTGTGGGTAGTGGTAAGCTCCTCCGCTCAGAATTCCTTCCGTGCCTCCAGGGTGCAGTTGACGCATACGTTTGTACTGTCCGAACATGTATCCGATCTCCTGAGGACCCACACCGACACCTGCAGTGGGGACATCCGTGTGAGGGCCAATGTAGTTGGCCAGTTCGGTCATGTAACTCTGGCAGAAGCGCATGATCTCGGACTCGCTCTTGTCCATGGGGTTAAAGTCCGATCCACCGTGTGCACCACCGTACGGACCGGCTAGGGCATTGCGGAAAATGGTCTCGAAGCCAAGGAACTTGGCGGTTCCGTGGGTCGTCTCCGGGTGGAAACGCAGACCCCCCATGTACGGACCCAGAGCACTCGAGAACTGCACACGGAAGCCGCGGTTAACGCGGCTACTGCCCTCATCATCGATCCATGGGACACGGAACTGGATGAGACGCTCGGGCTCCATGAGTGTCTTCATGACCCATGCGTACTTCGGGTAGCGATCGAAGACGGGGACAACGGAATTGACGAAGTTCTGAACGGCTTGGACGTACTCGGCCTTTAGAGGGCGGTTGACAACAGTTAATGGCGCGTTGGTAAGAGGAAATACAGGGCTTCATTTTGAGCCACGAGGGGGCTTCGTACCTGGTTGGGATCACGACGAATGACCTCGTCCGTCAGCATGTCCGCGGCCTCCTGGCCGTTCCGGAACTTCTTGTCGCCGCCGCGACGGAATAGTGGCTTGTTCTTCCAGTGTTTCTTGCCGTGCGTGGTGCCATGCACGTCCGACATGAGCGACGAGCTGGCGCGCGCCATTGTAGGCGCCACGGGCAGCGAGCGGCGAGCGAGAGACGACAGCATCGAGACCTTCTAGGGAGATTTTACGAGACTGAAGATCGTTGTGGTGGTGCAGTGTTGGTTGCTGAAAGACAAGGAGATGTTGCTGCTGTTGCGTTAAGGTTGCTTGTTGAGGACTATGGTGCGCGATGGAGACGCAGTTGCGCAAAACCTGCATGGTCTCAAGATGAATATAACAAGTGGATATGGCAGGGCTTCAATTGTAAGGAGACAGAATCAACAGGTTGTTGCCAATTTGTTATTTATGGAACCTTCAGAATAAAGATCCTATAAGTTTTGCAGATGTGGTACCGTCTTTGCCGCATTGTTTGTGGAACCAAGGTTGAAGCATCCCCAAAACTGAAGTCACCTCTTTGCTTGCTTGCCAGGGCGCTGCTATGTCAAGTGTTATTTATTTGTAGAGGACCCGTCCAGAGAATGGGAGCTTAGAATTATACTTGAGCACATGTATGCGTGTGGTTAGTTCAGTGCTCCTTAAGATGCTAGCTCTGGAGCTCTAAGACGTTGACGACAGCTCTGGAGTTCAAGACGTTGACCATAAGAGACGCACTCAACACCATAAATCAATTCTGGAGAGCGTCCACGTACTCACGGTTGGGATGGCATCAAATTGCAAACGATAATCGTTCTGTGTCACTCACCGATATCTTATCAAAAGATCGAGTTATTTTTCAGGTATTTTTTGTATTTTTATCGTTACTGGAGAAGCACCATGCGCTCCTCAAACATGCAGGGGAGACTACGTGCCCGCTGCTAGTTTGTCGCAATGAACTCTATTCAAGCAACGAGCACGTCACGCGGAACTGCGCATTTGCAACATTACAACTCCAGGCGCCTACAGGAAGTAGGTCACGACGGCGGCGGTCACAGCGGCGACGCTGCCAGCAGCCACCGAGGCGGCACCCGACGAGCCCGAAGCCGAAGCCGAAGCCTCCGACGAAGCCGTGGAGCCCGAGGTAGTGGCGTCCGACGAGCCCGAAGAGGTCGTGGTGGTGCCGCTGGAGCCCGAGGTGGTGGCGGCGTCCGAGGAGCCCGAGGTCGTGCCGACCGTGCCGCTCACGGTCGAGCCGGCAGCAGCCGAGCCAGCGGCAGCAGGGGCGGTCGTAGCAGCAGCGTCCGTGGCGGCCGACGAAGCGGTCGAGGTGGCGGCCGAGGTGGTGGCCGTCGTGGCAGCAGCCGACGAGGCAGTCGAGGCAGCCGTGGAGGTGCTCTGGCCGGCAGCGACGGCGATGACAAGAGCAGCAGCGAGGAAGCCGAAGACCTTCATGATACTAGATGGAGAGTGGGGTGGAGGTGGTGGAGTAGTAAGCTGCTTGGCAGTTGCTGGCAAAAGTGAGAATGAGGAGCTGCCAGCCGGGCGAATTTCAGCTCGGATATCTTCCAGCTGCTACAGAGACTCGAGCCCTACCGCACGGTGCTTCCTTCTTCTACATGTTGCGACCGACCAACAAGCGGACGTCTTTGTGTTCCCGCATCCAACGTCATAGTTATGATCGTGGGGTTGAAAGCCCGTGCTAATGTTCTGATTGGAGAGGTGGTATAGTGAAACCAAGTTTGATTAAGTGAGCTTTTGCTCCGAATAGAGCGCTGCTAGCTTCAAGTTGGTTGATCGGACGAAGGTGCAAGACAAGACGCAAAACTGCGAGCTCATTGGAGGCGCTCACGCATCGACAAGGTCAATTGTGGACACTGTGACAGACTGGCGGCTGGCACACCGAACCGAGCACGCCAATGGTGCCAGTATGGTCATACCAGCTCGGCAACAACGTGCTTTACACGCACAGAGCTCGCGAACACACATCCGTTCGTAAACTTGAGGAACAGGACGCCTCGATGAGGTGTCCGGATGTCATCCTCTATGCTGGCCGCGCGCTTGCAAATCGCGAGCTTCTCCGAAAGACTCTTTCGGCATTCGTGCGCCGTGTGGTGCCACCGGCTGGCGGTCGTCGTGCACACAACTTCATGCTCTCACAGCCTCTCATGGTCCCGCTATCGACAGACGATGCTTGAGAGGCTAATTTTTCGCAGCCATCACAAAGGCACAACGCTCAGGTCTCGTCAGCTCGACCATGGCAAAGGCTTGCCCCCACGTTTGACTCACTTGCACGCAGTACGGCTCTCAGCGGGAGTCTCACATCGAATGTTCACGCGGTACCGATAATACTGGCAACACTAGCGCATACATGTATACATGCACGTGTACACTAGCAAAATACAAGCAGATATGTACCGCATAAACCAAAATCGTCAATCACTGCACAAGACAAAGCATCACTTTCAGAAGTGTGTTCTTTATCTGTGCAGCTTTGCAAGATCGATCTCTGATTTCGATTGGGGAAAATGTAGCCAGCTGTGCTGTGAACGATGCGATGCAACACGAAAAACGTGCGTCGAGATTATTATGCAGACCCTATTGACCATCTTCAAGCTAAAGAACTGACTAGGAAAATCCACTGCAACCACGCGCTTGTCGTATCGTGGGGATCATGCGTGCGTATCTTCTTATCAGAGCATCGCAACAAGTCCCAGGGCCAGCCCCGCTGCGGTCCACGCGCCAGTCGTCGCGAGGATAGAGGCACTCGAGTTTTCAGTCGGAGTTGGCGTGCTCGGCGACTCCGTGACCTTCTTGGGCTTCCTGGTGGGCGTCTCAATCTCGCCAGCGCTTCCGAAGCTGCCACTGCCACTGCTGTCCGTCATTGGCACCGGGTTGGCATCCCATGGAGATTGCGTTGCCGGTGCAGCGAATGCTGGTGGGGATGGAGCAGCAGGATTAACTCCACCAGGTGCAGCAGTCTGTGGTCCAGTGGTCGTCGGCGGAGTAGTAGCGGGGACATTAGGGTCCGCCACCACGCTTCCAGATTGTCCTCCCGCAGTAGTGTGGTCTTGAGCAGAAGCGATGGCAATGGCACTCAAGAGCAGAGCAGAGAACACGCCGAATTTCATCCTGGTCGAAGCAAAGTAGTGAAGAGTGGGGTAAGCGGAGCGAGGCAAGTGCAGATATGTGAACCGCGTATCCAAGGAATTAGTCGGCGCTTTGCCATTAATCGACCAATTCGATTGAAAGCTTGATCTAGGCTTAGAGTGATGGTAAGAGAAGCTGCCGGGTCCCAGCTCCAGCTTTCAATCAGCAAAACTAAGGCAGAAGTGGGGGGAAAATTGCTCGTTGATATGAGCAGACAACAGGAGGATCTATGGAAGAAGCTCTGCTTGGCGAGACCTGGACGAGACCCGGTCTTTTACAAGCCCTTGGCCGAACAACTCGAGAATCTCAACACCACTGACGATATCAAGGAAGAGGATGTTGTAGAAGGCGACGACATATTCCAAGTGCTGTTAACTTCTTTTCATCACCTGGCAGACGTCAGGCCAGGGAGTCGGATACAGATGAAGAAGATCGACTTGAGTGCGATGGAGACATCCTTTTAAAGACGCGATGGAGTCGTGTCAAGCTGGAAGAGAACATTCTCAAGACTCCACGCCCAGAGGAGTTTTCTGACGAATGCATTGAGCAAGCTTCGCCAAACTCACTAATGATGCTGCGTTGGGTGGGCACGCTGCTACTCGGTGTTTCTATCCTGCTGACGTGGCCGATTGGCCTGGCATACCTGCAGGGTTAACCTTCTGAGCTTATTTACACTCCGAACGTTAGTTCAGGTTCATAAAAAAAATGGCAGAGTACGAGAAGCGCTAATAAACGCAGTATGTTGCTAGTCATTCACGCATGCATAGTCGAATCTGATTACTTCTTCCTTTTCTTTTCGTGTAAGCTGGTCAAACAACCACGTCATGGTCACCGATATCTGGTCTTGCCGAACGAAATCCGCTTTCCGTGCATCGCACCAGACAACTTGTCCGTAAGTCTGATAGCACAGCACAAAGAAGCGTTAAAAAGCCATTCGTATCAAGACGCCACCATATTTACAAGTACCTTAGAAGACCGCGTGTCTGGGCAGAGTTTGGCAGTTTGTTCACAAAAGACTTCATGCGCTCGGTAAAATCTAGGAGCATCTCAAGATGCTTCTCTTGTCCTGACATCTGAATGATCCATCGAAGTATATCATGTAAGACGCCGGTGATTTGAAAGCGCTGGCCGTAACTGCGATCTTTATCCAGGAACACTGTCAGTTCCCGAAGCAAGTGAGGAATGTAGTGTATCCGCTCTTTTGGTGGCAGTGCGTCGACTTCTTTGACGCGGTCAATATAATATCTCGGTGGCTTGGCTTCCAATTTCCGTCTCCGCGTAGTAGCATCGACTTCATTGCGTGTATGCGAGCTTGTCTTCGACTGTGGCGCGGGAGTCATCTCTGTTGTATTCTTCGTTTTGACCTGGGTCAATTGATGAACACCACCTCTACTTTTACTCTGTGACTTGGATCCCTCAATCTGAGTATTTGCCACTGATTCTGTATCTCCCACAGAAGATTTCTTGAGGTCTTTGTGGTTTCTCTTTCGTTTCTTGTCATCCGCCGTAGTATCCTGGATAAATACTTAGCTCAACACCACATTCAATAGAATAGCAACCATCATCGACGTACCACAGGTGCGCTCACTGCTATCTTTCGCAGCCCTTTCTCCAATTGGCGTTGCATGACAATTGTGTTTGTCAACAGACTCGAGCTACGTCCAGTGCTTGACGCGCAATCTTGTTCCAGCTTCGAGACTGCAGTGCGTACCTCCTCCAATTTTGCAAACGCGGCCAGCACATCGTTTACCGCTTCGTCCAGCGCTAAGAACTCCTCATGGAGTACGAGATTCGCAGTTGTTTCGAGCTCCTCAGCCGGTACAAGCACCAAGACACGTTCGCAAAGAGCTTCCATGACACAACGGAACGAAATGATTGGTCAGCCCAAGAAGGTTACTTTTTAATGTAGCCATCTACCAGAAATGGCTACAGTTCGAGTTGAAGTGAAGTCTTTACGTCTGGCAGCCAAAATATGCAGGCTTGAGGCTCAACTTGAGCGGTTCAAGGTTGACAACTCTGAGCTTAATAGTTCAGCTATGTGTAGCATCGCAGTTTAAGTTATACTAGTAACCTACTTCCAACATCATTGCATACTTTCCCGGCAGCAACAACGTACCCCTCGTGTGTAACCCAGTTACATTCGTGATTGCCATTCGATCCAATGGACTTGGAATCGCTTTACGAGCGCGTCCTGAGGTCGGTCCCTGAGAATTGTCTGCAAGACAGCTACAATGATGTCCTGAAGGAGGAAATCTTGTTAATTGACCGAGCGGTGAGCGACGTCTCCGCCGCGTTCGCCAAGCTGGAGGAGATCCGCGATGCGATGGACAAGCTGGGCAACGGATCAACTGGAAGTCGCAGTGCGAGTTTGGTGAAAATCATGGAGAACACGCGAAAGATGCAATGCGAGCTCAATACGAAGCTGGACAAAGTCATCTCGGGAATGATGGCAGTACGTTGAATGCACCGAAGTTATCATAACGTTAAATGAATGTTGACAAGTTGTGTCTCCGTGCCTCAGACTGGCCAGAAGCGAAAGAGAGAGCTGGAAACTGAGTCACCTAAAGGAACAGTGAAACTTCCACCTCGAATGATAGGCGAGACCGGCAAAAGTCAAACTTGGTCAGGCACCCTGAGCAAAGATAATTGCTTAGATGAGATGCGGAAGTTGACCCAGATGACAGTGCTTGAACGAAACGAGCACGTGCCAGCTGTACTGCTTCAACTGAGAAACATTATCTGCGAGATGTGTTTAGGGAGGGGAATTATCATGATGAAGTACATGGTTTTATGGGCCAATTTAAGTCTGGGAACGAGAAACCTGCTAGAGGGATTTCGCAGCTTTTGCGAGGCCGTGTCGCCGCGGATAGCTCAGATTTATGATGAGGCTCCGAGACCACTAGGCTTAAGGAGGTACGTGCTTAGTTAGAAGGTTTATATCTGCAGGGCATTTACACTTTTACTTACAATTCATTTTGTTAAAGATTGCGCGACACATTACTGGAAGTAGTGGAGTACCAAATGTCACTCGAAAACGAGGAACTGAGTGAAGAAGTGCGTCTCACCTACGACCTTTATGTCTGACTTTTAGATGCACTGGAACCTGAAGAAAGAGCGCACCACTTCCCTCTAGCTGTTTCCGCGCTTAAAGATGAAATGTCGTGTGGTTCTTCCGGCAATCGGCCGATCGAGATTACCAAAGCAATGAAGCTGGTTGGAAAGTGGGCTCAAGATGCTTCTCAAACTCCTCTACCTAGTCATTTGTGCGACGATCTTGTCGAAGAAGGGAAAGTGTATGTCAACAAGTTGTCAAGCTTTCTCATCAAAGCCGACCTGATCGGGTAAAACTGCGATTTGTCTTTAGTCGGCATGAGGCGATTCTGACGGATTGCTTTGCTTTGTACAGGGCGCTCAGGAAAATCGAATCTTCTACCCGTGATGTGTTCCAGTCGACGGTGGAAGAGAGAGCGGCGAATGCATTGAGCTGGACACGTCAACTCAAAGAGGGCGCATCGGTGGAGGATGTCGACAAAGGTATTTTACTTCTGGACGAAGTAATCCGGCATCAGGAAGAGGGTTGGAAACCACGAAACAATGAGGATGTACGCGAATGCTGCGATATTCTAAAGTTTCACTCACTGACACTGGATGTGGGTCCCTGTCAAGGACAGCGGTTGGCGGTGATATCGAAGTGGAGGTTAAATCGTTACCAGACTAAAACGGACTCTGGCAGTGCGACGGCAAACAATCCGAAAAAGATAAAGAAAGAAAGAGGACAGCGAGGTTAATCAGACCGCAAAGAATGACTCAGGCCAGGCAAGTAGCTGAAAACGTCATTTTAATGCAGATATCGCATTATTACAGTAGTTGACCAACTTTGTGAATATTATACTTTTTTTTGCCAGGTTACGATTGTAACCCATTATAGGTTTTACAATGCAATTATTGTCGATTCGTACCCCCAATTGTGTCCATGGACTTAGCGGCATTGATCAGTCAGGCTCCACAAAATGACGGAACGGTGGGCCTGAAGAGGAAGTGTTTTGGCTGGATCGCCGACTCTTGCGATTTGGTGGTTAATACTTGCTACGTTTCCGTGTTTCTGGGTGATTTTAGGCTACATGACGCCTTAGTCACCTTGCTCCGGGGCCAACATGACAATCCAAATTATGGTACCTGTCTTAGCATTGATCTTCTGGTGTTGCGCATCAACGCGATGGCGGAGAGTGACAGAAGACAACATTTTCCCCCATGTCGTCGATACGCTAAAGCAAGAGATGTCACAAAAATCTCCTGGGATCAAACCCGTCACCAAAGCTCTGAAAACAGTGAGACAGTGGGAGAACAGGATCCTCAAATTGCGGGACTGCGCACTCAGTGGGGTGAGCTGGCTGAGAGAATACAGACGTATGCCGATAGTGTTCTCAATTTTGTCTCTAGAGCCGAGCTTTACAGGTACGATTAGATATCAAGCTTCCATTGTACTAGTAACTCTGAACTAACCGTTATTACGCCCTCGAAATCGCGCAGTGAAATGCGTAAATTCAGGAATATGGCTGGTACACCGTCTACTGAAAGCAACCAAAAGAAAGTGAAGAGACTTCAGGCTGAAGTGAAGCGTCTGAAAGGCCGAGGCAGGGCGAACAAAATCGGCGATTGCATTTTGCTTTTTGCTTTTTGCTTTTTGCCGAGATCCTTCAGCATCGTGACAAAAAATGGCAGCCCCGAAAGAACCCCATTGTTTCCGATTGGTTTAGCCGTATATTGGCATGCTTGGAAACTTTGCCACAAGGGAAGGCTAGGCATCAGCATGGGATTGTACTGAGGAAGTGGAACCTAAATAAGGGTATTTCACCTGGTCTGGAGCAGGAGAAATTTATACGTTGAACATAAACAATTTCATGTACAAAACTCTATTGGACATCGTAGCATGTTTCCGTTGGACGAGGTTGACGCGCAGTATGAGCGCATTGTGCGTTTGATCCCTGTTGAGGAGCTACAGAGCAGCTACAACAGCGTGTTACATGTCGAATTTTCTTCAGTGAATAATGCCGTAGACGGTATAGTGGCAGTTCTGTCCCATCTGAAGGAGGTGCGCAATGCAGTAACCAAACTGGAGAAATACAAGCCCCAGCGCAGTCTAACAAAAACCATGGACAGAACGTTAGAACTACGACGGGAACTGGAAATAAAGCTGCAGAGGGTAACACAGTTGATGGTGAGTGAATTCAAGAGGTTTCCGTAGTACATACTTCAGTACCATTTATTACAGTAGGCTTGTTATTTGGTGTATTTGCTGATCTGTGGGCGGTATTTGATAGGAAGCAGCGAGTGTCAATAGTAAAAGCCAACGCTATGAACAAATTGGGTGTTCTGCCAGTACGGTGGTGGACAACGAGGAGTCCGAGTCCGAATCGAGTTCGGACTCGGATTCGGGCTCAAGTTCTGAATCGGAAGATGAAGATGTCTCAATTGACCCTCGACGACGATTTCTTCTCCAACACACCAAAGATGTTGAAAACGATGTTGGAAACTGTGCGGGCGGCCTATTTACTGGACGGAACAAGTTGGTTTCAGACTTGGAAAAGGAAAATGCTGCTGTTGTTCGACCTTCGCGGCGATTGAATCTATTGTCACCTGCAGACTCTCATTGATTTTATCTCGCGTCGTTAACAAGGCAGACAATGGCGGACGGGATAACGTGGTAATTGCTACCAAGACGAGTACACAATATATTGAGATAATGGAGAAGGTGGACAGGATGGCGGTGGTGGAGAGATACTCACACATACGCGATGTACTCCGGGAGATGACGGATGTGGTAAATAAGTACGGCAAGGAAAAACTACACAAGCGGGATGTTGGAAATATGATGATATACGCGTTACGGTGGCTTTCAGATTGTACCAATCAGAAAAAATTGGTGGATGCATACGAGCATTTCTTAACGGCGGTGAAAGCGTTTGAGGGACAACTTCTAGAACCGACTGAGAAATCGTTGCTGAAAGGGTACGCCACCGAAGTCTGTTAATCTGTATACTTAAGTAGTATGATGTGTATTAACGTTGTAGTTTTGTTACGTAGACTGAGTACGAAGTTCTCTCGACTTTTGAGCCAATTAAGTATCCCCGAGAACGGAAATGATGAGCCAGAGGAGGCTAACCTGGAGGAATCCAAACCTAAACATGACGGACCTATACCCACTGAGCAGCTCAATAAAGCACGTGGTCGCAGCGAAATGGTTACCTCCGAGAGAACTCCGCTGCTTTCGAAGCCTTTAAATGCCGCTGCCAACGAGAAGTGTGCGCCGTTAGTAAGATCTGCTGGACCACCACCGAAAAAATTACCGGCTTACTACGCAATTATGCTCAATGACGTAAAGCAAGTGCCGATTCAACTCAGAGCTCCTTGCGTTTCGCATGCTCTACTCCTGCTGAAAAAGGCGATGATGACAGATGCGGTTGGCGAACAAAAGGCGGATATATCTGACTCCATTGGTGGAGTCCTCGATTGGATCACGGAAAGCTCCGATCTGGAGCATGATTTTGAATTGTATCACGATTTTGCTATCGTCTTGTTTTCATACACTTTACAGCACCCAGAGACTGAGGAGCTGCAAAGGTAGGCACTTATTTTCTTTACTACTTCAAAGAAGTACCATCGAATTGTGGTTTAACATTCGTTTTGTGACAGGATCACAGACCAGTTTTCCGAAACAATTGATAAAATTCGCTCAGAAGGATCGCGTTTCCGCCTAACGCATTTGAAACACCGCCTTCACCTTGTCGGGTGTCTGAATTCCCTTCCTCAGCTATAGCGGTTGCAGCTGATCTTTTATGTGTATCGAGATACTTGGACTCGACTCGGTGCGGAACTGGTTCGGCGGCCTGTGTAGAAGATTAGCAAGTATGAAGCAGAAGTTGGCTCGGAATCTGAATCGGATTCTGAGTCGGACTACGAAGATGAGAAAGAGGCTGTTGGTGGCAGCGAAGCTGCATGGAACGCGCTCATGGCTACGGTATCTTTTGATAACACTTAGAATTTCATTTAATTCATCCATGGGGCGCCGCGAGAAGCGTGGTCGGCGTCGATTTGTCTGTGTTTCCTTTACTTTTTCAATGTCTATTCGATGCCACTTCATTTTTTGACTCACCACATTTGAAAACGTAAATTATTGAGCGTGATGGCTACGAAAGAAGAACAAGTTTGTTGTTGCCAGATTATCACCAGGATTTCAAATGGACAGATTCTTGACATTGTATATCGGTGTTGAGTAATGCATTCAAGCGGTGAGGTGAACTCGCTATATTTGTTATTATTGAAGTCACCTTACCGTACGGTTTCTTAGCTCATTCGAAAAAAGGTAGGTTCCTTCACGAACACTTGGTAACTCTGTGTGCTCACAAATATTGGACTTCCGACGTGCTTCTAGATGCACTAGTGCGATCATATGCCGATTTTGCTTTGACTCGGAGCTCCCATGAGCTGTTTGACCTATAGTGTGACGAATTTGTGTATGCATACACTATTCGTCATTTGGTCACACGTCATTCGACGACTGGTAATCATTTGACCACGTCATCCGACAATTGGTCAAATGGTACCACAGAGTTAGTTCCAACCTGCAAAAGAGTATGATAGAGCAAACTAACTTTCAATTCAGCTCTCAATTTACTTTTAAGTACTCACTACCTCCGTAGTGTTACTTATAGCCCCATTACTAAAAATTATTACCAGAATATGGATACTACCATTTCGCAGTTTGACGCCGACGCGAGCTGGACGCCGATGAGCTGAATGTCAAGTGGTCCTCAAGAAGTCACAACACTCGCAGACACAATTAGCCCCTGCTCTCGATGCTTTAGGCGTTTTGGCGTCGTAAGCGCCTCAGCGATCATCTACGATGGGACCTTGGGCACGTCCAATGATCTGGTCGAAGCTCTGCAGCAGCTTGAAGCAAATGCAACGAACTCAGAAACATATTGAACAGTATAAACGAGATATTTCCAGCAAAGACGACAGAGTGGTTGTTCAAGAAACTATGGAGATCAACGAGGACGATACGGAGATGAGGACGACACGACTCTAGTGAAGAGTGATCCAATGAAGCTACACTCGAATCACTACAACGGGAAGAACAAGAAACATCGACCGTGAAGCAGTCACACCGCAAACTTAGTAATGACATTGCTACGAAGGAAATTGTAAGTATTCGTGTTGTAATGGGCTCGCTGTGTGCCCGCTACTTCGGCTTACACTCTAGCGCACGTGTATGAGGAAGCGTAGTTTGCTTAACTTAGATTAACTATACTTACGTCTCGTAAGTATAGATTTACTTAAATAAG